TTTTTTTTACCGTAAATTTATGATTATTAATGTTGTCTTCAAACTTCCGACGTAATTGAAAAATGAAATAAATGAACGTATTTACACACAGTGGAACTTAGCTTTGTTCTCTCGCTCGCATAAAAATATCTACCCGTCCTCGAACGTCGTTGTCCGACGACGGGATGTCGCTGTGCGCGCAGATTCGGTGCACCCCCGACTTAATTTGAATAACCTTCATTAATCAAATTATTTCTACCCCCGCTGTCGTGGCGGGAATATAATATTTCCGAGACGGCTTCCACCAAGCGAACCTGCTCTTAACGAGCGACGACGAGCGCACGTCGTCGTTTCGACGGAAATATAAACGCACGCTACGGTCCTTACCCCCTACATTGTCGGCGTAATAGTTCATTTTTCCGGACGAAGATTGGCGTTCTAGTTAAGCACCAGACGTATGTCTGACTCTTTCCCCTTCGGGTCGAATGAAAAGTTAACCCTTATCCGAGCAATCATCAGCCAAATGCCCTTATTCTTTGGAATAAAAAAAAAATGGAAGCTACAAATGAGTTTCTTACTTTCGCGTTTTTATGAATTATTAAAGAAAAAGAGGATCTTCTTTATTTTTATTTAAAAAATACTACAATTCTTTACTTTAAATGTGTTTTTATATTTATAAACAAATTATTTATCTCTACGCGCGTAGATGTATTAATAAAAACTCCGCGTGCGTGATTAGTTTTATGAAATATATTTTTTAATAGAATCCTACGCGATATGTTTTCGTCGAGTTTTGCCATTTGTCGAGCCGCCGGTAGTGACAACTGCCGTCTTGCCGAATCCCTTAGACGCGGCAGCTTCGTAACGAGTCAATTTCGTCGCGCGACACCCGCGTACGTGCGCTCGCCGCACGCCAAAGGGTTATTCGGGAAGGGGGGAGGAAAGAGGGAGCGGCCGCGCGTTATCTGAGGAATTCCACTCAACTATCTTTAATCGCGCGAATTAATCGTCCGCGGCGAATACCTCGCCGCAATGTTTATCGCCGGCGCGGATACGGCCGCACGAGCGTGAGTTGACATTCCTCTCGTGAGCGGCCGCGCTTTTTGCTCGGCCACCCCCGCCGTCTCCCTCCGTCTACGGGCGCTCTCTACGGTGCGCCAGGTGGAAATATCTTTTCGCGATTAGCTTAGGGGCGGCAGGCGATGTTGTCACGGCACGGCAATGGAAAACGTTATTCCTCATGTTTTTGCGATACGTTAACAGAAAACACGAGAGTTTCTAGTACGTACATATTATCGCGGGAACGGGGAGAGGGGAGAAACTCCTGTGGCCGCGCGACTGCCATGTCGGACCGGAGGGTGGCCTGAAACCTAATTGTTCAGATACACGCATTTCACTGCCACCGCACCGCCGCGACGCCACGCGCACACGCGCGTCGCTATATAATGTTACGTGCGCATGAGCCGAATACAGGGTGGTTCAGCGGTAATGTGTGAACAATCTGTATGCCCATTAAATAACTATGCGAGAGATTGTTTGAGAAAATTATACAAGTAAATGAAAATCACATGTGATAAAAACTGATTGCGATCACCAGTAAAATTGATCGATCTCTTTCAAAATGTTTACAAGCAGTCGGCCTACATTTGCGTCAAAAGCATCAATTTTATGAAACATCACTTCTTGTTAAAAAAAAAAAATAGCAATGTTATTAATATTCTAATTCTGAACGTGTAATATATAATTAAGCGCGGGTCAGAAATTACTGTAGTTTATAGATGCGGTAAGCTCATTAAGAGTTTATATAGAGCGCGTTAGTTTATTTATAACTTCGTGCGCGTTCCGCGATGTGATCGGTAGATAACAACCGCCTGTGAAAAGCTCTGTAGAGCGGAGAGCATGTCAATGACACACGCTCATTATTCTGTACACGGGGTACGTTTCGATCGGGCTACGCGAGCCAGCGGGATTGTTTTAATGAAACCATTTCCCTCTCAACCCCCTTCCTCTCGGTCTTTTCCGCACCCTCTCACTCTCCTCCCTATCCCCTCGCGATGATGCAAAGGGAAAAGAATTTCCGATTGATGGCGCAGATAATGGAGCTGCCAAGACGCAAACCATCACGTCTGCTCGAAACGATATTCCGGATGAGAAGGGGAAGAGAACGCGCGCGCGTGCGCGGAGTGAGGTGCCTCCAATTGACGGCAATTTCACAAAAACGTGAAATTCTTCATTATCTCCGGCATTGAATTCCGTCCTCTCTATCTTTCTCTCTCTCTCTCTCTCTTTCTCTCTGGTCGGGTGGTTTTTGAACAGGACACGTGAAACGACACTCGCTGCTACGTTCATCGTCCCGATTATCGGTGATTGAGACCTTCACTCCGCGCTCCGAATGTTTCCAATCTCTTCCGATATAGATCGACCGGAATCGTCATCTGCCGATATATAACTTCTTGCGGAACAATTGACAGAAAAAGCAAAACTGCCAATACAAAATAATTGCGCTCGACAGCGAATAGGTTTTCATCGTGCAAAGCTTGTGATTTCTTCTCCGAGAAGAGATGAACATTTCGAACGTTTTTAGAGAACATACGTATGTATTTTCTAAGTTTGCAGAAGGCATCCATTATATATATATAAAAAAAAAAAAAAAAAAAAAAAGAAAAAACTCCGAACAGTCGAAAAAAGATTAAACGTGTATCGGATAGAAGGTTTGCGTATCGACGAGAGCGGAAGTAATACGAATGGCGCTTTGACCGCGATGAATCCCCGCCGTGCGGATCAGCGTGCTTCGCCGCACAGCAGCTAGTTGAAATTTTATCTTCGTCTGTGCGAAATTTTTTTTTATCCAGGCGCTGTTTTAGAATCGAGACACGATTTATTTTTCGCGCGAGCACACGAGGGAGAGAAGAAGAGCTCGCGGAATAATCTCGTCGCGAGCGAAATCCGACGTGCATGTGCAAAGAGAACGCGTGCCACAGAAGAGAAAAGATAATCGTTGCAAATGTAGAAATTAATACAACACATTGAGGGAAAAAAAAACAATCGCATCGTGAGAAATTAATTCCATCGGGACGAAAATCGTGTGTTGAATTCGCGAAGTCCGTAAAGATTTTTATCGTTTTACACATCCACTTGTGATAAATCCCTCGAGAATATTTGACACATATATATATATATATATATATATATATATATATCTGACTGATTATACGCTTCGAAACTCGTTGTATTTACCAATTCCGGTTGCAATCTCGCACGTGAATATTGCCCATGTTTGGTTCATTTCCAATAATAGATACACCACTCGGCGGTGGTCACAGGCATACGTCAATTATCACATATCAATGTTCCTCTTAATCATTGATGACCCAATACCTGAGCGCAGTTGCCTAATATAGCAATATTAGTCTCCTTCGTCATCGAACTACGCCACGGGGTGATTATGGCGCTCTGACCAGCTGTAGCTAAAGTTGTAATCACGATACCGCGGCAAACATAATCATCAAGGATTTTGTATATTTAATTGCTCGGGCTTTTAATACATAAAATTATATTTAAATAATAAAATAATTTTGATCGAGATATATTCAATATCGTGTAATACTAAAATAATAATAATAGTTATTATTATGATTATTAGTTTTCTTTGTCATTATATATTTAACGACTCGGGCTTTTGCTCAAAATAATAATAATTATATTGAAAATAATTTCAGCCAATATGAATTTATTGCAATATTATGCAGATCTATGTTGTCATATTGAATTGTCACTTTTAATAATTTGCTAATAAACACTGTGAGAACTCTTGTAAAATATGTATATAGAATGTTAGAAAATAAAATATATATGTAAATTTAAGTCTCTCTCTCTTTATATTTCTTTTATTTTATTTCATAATTTTAGCGCTTATAAAATATTCATTTCTCCAAATAGAAATAGAAGGAGAAGTAAAATTCGAGATTTATTGTGACTCATCATTTATGTTTCATTTATACGTTTATATTTGTCGAAATAAAAAATAAAAAAAAAATCGTCGCATGTTAATACATAGTTATCCACTCCTCTCTGTCATGTGACTTTACTTTAGGTACGTTTTAAAGACACGTGACTAAAGTAAAGTTACATGACTTTAATCACGTATTGTTTATCTACTCCTATCTTTTTATATTGTTCGAGTGTGATTTTCATGAGTTATTTCTGACATCTCTCATATGTGTATTATATGATTTGTAAGACGTATATTGCTGTCATCACGGTGACAGGTTGTGTTCACTGACACAACACGTTAAAATAAAAACAATAATATTGTTCGCGCGCCTGTGTTGTGCTAGTAATAAAAAAAATTTATTTCGGATTTGTCCTTTCCTTTTATGACGTATCGAGAAAAGCATAAACGTGCGCGGATTTACGTAAATAATATATGAACTTTTAACAAATTGTTGCGTAATTAATTTACATTACTCCCCCCTATTATTAATATTTTCATTTAATCTTTTTGCTTACATCTTGTAAGCGTGGAACAGACGGCTCGAAAATTATAAAATCAACAAAATTGTGAGAATTTCAATCATGTTATTTTCAAGTAAAAACGGTCGCGACAACACTTTCAGAAAAAAAAACATCAATATTCAGGAAGTCCAATATGGTATACACATTTATATTTGTTCATCTCTCTGTGCAAAACGCAAGCCTCTGTCATTCGTTTTTATTAATTTATAACAGTCAATATTGGTGAAATATTTTTTAATTTAATTATTGAAATTCTGTTATTGGTTTTTTATACGTGCTAATAAAAACAGTTGATTTTATTTCTGCTTTTGCACTTAGAATATTACACTTTTTGATAAAATTGTCTTAATTTTTGTAAAATATTGTGCATACAGCGCGATTTCTATGTAAATTAGTTTAACTAAACGTTTATTACAATAATTTTCACGTTTAAAAAAAATGATGTTAATATATTCGTAATGAATACATGTGCAATATTTATGCGACAATAAATTTTCTGTTAGCAGGTATGGGAAAGCAGAATTCGCCTCTCAACTCGCAAAGAAACGCACATTTTATTGCGATGCTGTTTCCTTCTCTGAGGACTTGAGCTTTCGGGTAACTATGTCAAACAAATGCTATTGTGCGCACGAGATATACACAGTTAGATGCATGATCCCATAATGAGCGATTGATATCGACGACGATTCGAAGGGGAGCTTCATAGCTTCGCGGATAGAATCTAAATGCACAACTCGTCGAAAACAGAACTCGATTGGCTCAAGTATACTTTCATTCAATCAGCGTTCGCCCTATTTGCGATGTTCTTTGATTAGAATTCTGCTGCTAACGCGTTACAAGGGGTCGATCCCTCTCTAATGTCCGATACAAATTACGGATCCCGACATATTACAGAATTGCGTTCGACAAAATGTTCGTATCACGAAACAATTCGCGGTATAACGAAGTAGATTGAACTTCGATTACGCGTCAAAGTTCTGAACAAAGAAAATACCACTCAATGTCAATACAAGTAGATTGTCAGTAGTAATTACTTATCGCTGTCAAAACAGTTGATATTTGTATAAATATTACTGAATTTCGTCACACGACGAATTTGTATCATTTCAAAAAAAAGAAAAAAAAACCTGCGCGAAATAATTCTCAGTCAATCCGCATTTTGCGAAAGTTTATACGGCGGAACGACAAAAATCGTCATGATGCCTCATAGGATTTTCGTTTATAGCACCTCGCGTTCCTCCGGCGACGCTGACCGGAGTGAGAAACCGACTAGAGCGAGAGAAGACGATAAAACGAGTCGCTAGGCGGTCTTATTTGCACAGCATGTATATTTAATTTACCGGTGCATATACATGTCCGTCGTTTTTCCATCCTCCAGCAACCTACCCTCCTCCCTCTGCCCCGGTCTCTGTCGCCGCTAACTCTCCCGACGGCCCGATGCGCAAAACTTTTAGGGATTGCGCGCGCGTTCGTCTGAATATATTTGCATGCTCCACTTTTCTCGCGTTTTTATTCGCCGTCGGAAATTTGCGGTCCCCCGGCTGGTCGCCGTTGCGAGTTCTCGCCGGTGTAAATTCGCTGTGAGAACTTAACGCCACTTTGCGCGATTTTATTGTAAGATGCTTTTTGAATTATCCGGTGTGTAAAAGAAGAGAAAATTTTTGTACAAGCACGGGTTTTCTTCAAAAATGCGATTTTTATTCGCATTAGATTAACAAGAAATTACGAATATCTGCGATATGTTGTACAATGGCAAATACGCACACGTTCGCGCACTACTCCGTGACGATACATCGCATGCATTTGTGAAACACCAGTTTGTTTTTCAACCTCTAACTAGTTTGCTCGTGTACCATATCAGTTCGAGAAATAGTTTCCGTCATTTCGGTTTCACGCATACTTGTATTAACAGACCTCAATAACCAATATTTTTAATTTTTCTACCAAAAAAACATAATTGCTCTCTTTTTTTGCATACATATATATACATATATGTATAATGGCTCGATAACTCGCCGCGTCGTTGGAGCGGCACGTTCGCGTCTTAGTTAGCCGAGCTGGCGCGTGCTCGCGTCTGGTTTATTAAAAAGGAGAAACGTGATCGCACAGGAGAATTTCGCGCAAGACGTATCGCTGTCGGTTCAAACATTTGTTCGCGCAAGCATTTTATTGCGCTTGTGCGTTAAGCGACGTAATCCGCGCGTGACACTTTGCAGAAAATTGTAATCGAAAACGAATCATGACTGTAGCTTTTGTAATTAATACACAGATTGAATCGAGTTCTGTCTCTGTGTGTATGTATGCGTGTGTGCGTGTGTGTGTACGATTTATTAATAAAGCGATTAACTTCGTTGTAAAGCAAATTTCGCTATTCGAACAAGAATTCGCAGAAATTACTGTTGCGTCAATAAACGTGTGTCACTTCTCGAAGCGGCATAAAGTTACTCGCTTCTCTTCAGACTCTTCTTGCCGGAGACGTAATCAAGTGAAAATTCTCTCAACACACACACACATACACACGTACACTACGTCCCGCGAGAAAGACGATGGGACAATTCAATTATACGAGAACACGCGAGCGCTGGATTTTCCCGCGCGGATTTCGCTCGGAAATTTCGAAAAGCTCCTTCCGCGTCCTTTATTTGTCGGTATAACGATGTTGAACGGGCCGTCGACCCGCTGCGCCATGTATTCAGTTAATGAAAACATTGTCCTGCCCACAGCACACACGGTCATCCGCGCGCACGCGGTTAGCTTGTCACACACGATCTCCACCGCATCGCGGTGCAACCATGTGCACCCGCCGCGTTTTGCGGGGCCCACGCGTCGTACATCAGAGCTGGTTGAAAAGCTCATGTGTTGCCCCCGGATATTTGCGTTCTGATAAATTATTTTACTTTGTACTGCTTTTTGTGTGTGATTATGTAAATAAAAAATCACACGCAAGAACTCAAACAAAGTCTCACAATGCGGAATATATTGGTGTGCAAAATAATATTGAGTAATTATTTATCACACAAATTTATTCTGATATCTGCGTGATCAGATTTTTCAAAATTTAAACAAATATTTCGGATGCTTTCTATCCGAACGGAGATAAATTCTGTTACGTTGTTTTCAAAGTGAAAGATTTTTATCAATTTGCAATCAATTTTTTTTTTCCAATACGAAGAAATAAGCAAGGCTCTTGAAATTCTAAACTAGCATCAAATTGGTCATTAAGAGTCAGAATCAATATAAAATATATACGTGTTTGTATAATCGTTTCGCACGAACATACAGCGTTTGGCTCATAATGATCAATTTAATGTTTTTTAAATACCTTTTATATATGAAAAAGAAGAGAAAAAAGATTCTAAACGTATAAGATTCGTATTCATCAGATTGTGACGCAGAAGTGAAAGAATGGGACAAAAGAGAGAGAATGTAAATGTATCTCGCGAGAGGTTAATAAATACACTGGGACTGAAACATCTCATGAATTTAAAAAAATAAGAGAAGAGATTATTTTCAAAGAAGTAACGCGACTTTTTTTTTTTTTTTTCATGTGACTGCGCATCGCAATTCGCAACATATTGCGCTCTTTGACTCGTTTTCCCAACTGTGTATACGTGTCAACCTGCCCATAACAAACGAAAGCAGAAACGGGACACGCGCTCTCGTTGTCGAATGTCGCGGCATTGTTTAGCGTCCCGCTGCAACGAGTTATGCAAGCATCGCGACGCTGGAGCGATGCAGCTCCCATACAATACATATTTGCGCACACACGCGCGCACAAAGTCGTGCACGCATTCGGTAACCGGTAAATCATCAGAGCGATAAAACGAGAAAGGTTTAAAACGCAGCGACGGAAAGAATATCGGAATTCAATGCCACTCTCTCTTCAATTTCTTAAAAAAAACAAAAACACTAAATAATTTTCATGTACGATGAAATATTTCACAATTGGGAATAACAGGTATATCTCGACGATAAATGGAAAAACGGCAAATAAACGACGGTAGAAGTCACGATTTTTCATCAACATCGCAACATTAACTTTCCGTAAGAGTTAGACAGTCCGTTAGCTCTCTTCTCTCTTCTCTCTCTCTCTCTCGCTCTCTTGGAAAGCGGCGCCGCTACTATCCGCGGAATGCATTCCGCATGGAAATGAACGCCGAGCGTATCTTAACCATATGTTGTCCCGATGCAAAATGCAACACGCCGTTTTCGATCTCAAAGCGAACCCTGCGCAACCTCGGCGTGTCGCGAATATTATTGCGTCCATATTTTTCAACTGTCACGGCCGCGAGGTATGTGTAACTTTTGTTCGGCGTTTATCCCGATCTAACGACCTTACATGCCTCCCTCTATTCTCGGCGTGTTCTCGCGCGCGCGAGTTTCTCTCCTCCGCGTGCTCATCGCTTCCAGTCGAGTTCTCAGCTCGGCTCAAAAGAGAGACACGACCAAAGCGCTGTCAAACACGCTTTCGCGCGACTACGACGCGGGTGACGAAGCAATCTCCGCGTCGACAAACGACCGTAATCATTGTCAAAAGAGTAATAGAGAGAGAGAGAGAGAGAGAAAGAGAGAGAGACGCGTGTGTAACAAGGTGAGAGAGAGAAAGCGCGGTGTGTGGCTCGTGAATGTACAGAGACGCCGATAACGACGTCGTTACGTACGCGCAGGCGTGACGACTGATTAGGATCGCCCGTACGTTTCTTGCCCGCCGTTACTAATCGCGGGTCAACGATGTTACCCGTCGCGGTCTTTTACGCACCAAACGAAACAGCCGCGACGCGGAGGCGCCGAGCAAAGTCTTCTTCTTCTTCTTCTCCATTCAAAAAGGAAAACACGTCATCTCCAAGTAATTACAATGTTGCGCTTACGTTCCGCGCAAATCTTCTTGTAACTCCTCGTGTTTCTTCCATGTTTAAATTCGTGCGAAAAAAAAATCGCGCTGTGATAAATGAAGAATTCTCCGCGACGTTCTTACCCCTTCCCTCTCCTCCCCGCGCCGTCTCTTCGAGCGCGGAATTTAGATTTGGCGAGCGGGGGAGCGCATTAGAAAAGTAATGTGCGCGCGAAGGGGCAGGTAAACCGGCGGGTTAAATATTAAAAGGCGCATGAATAAGCGCGATAGTGCTCGTATCTTAGCGCTCGGCTGCCACCCGGTGCATACATATTCATGTCCCTTTGCTCTTGCCGCGCCCCGGTGGCACCTCGAGCACCTCTTTCGCGTCCAGGTTCCCCTCCTTCCTTCTCCTCCGCGACCCTCCGTCACCCACACACGTACCTAGTTATACGTAGCTATCGCGGCCAAGAAGACGATTGCCGGCCCCGGGTTTGCTGCCGGATGCTATCGCCGTGAAAACACGTTGGAACGCCCCGGAAATTTATGTCGAATTCACAGAGGTGCTTTACGCTACTGAGTCACGTGCGCTCTCGTTTTTTCCCTCTTTTCCGGTTCACACGCGGAAAACAGAGACATCGATTATCGGAAGAGCGCGGCAACAATAGCTAAGAAGCTTGATGTTCTCGGTAACGAGATAGAGATTCAGCCAATTAAAACTGCACAG